TAGGAAAAAGGGGAGAGTCCTAAAGGGGGAAGGCACCTCCGAGGTGCCTTGGGGAGGATGGACTCCTCCCCCCCTCTTGGCCGCACCCCTTTCTTGGAGTAAGGGGCAAGGCTGCGCCTCCCCCCTCTCCCCTGCCCCTATATATAGTGGAGGGGAGGGAGGGCATCCACACCTGAGCCCCTGGCGCCTCCCTCCCTCCCGTGACACCTCCTCCTCTCCAGTAGGTGCTTGGCGAAGCCCTGCAGGATTGCCACGCTCCTCCATCACCACCACGCCGTTGTGCTGCTGCTGGATGGAGTCTTCCTCAACCTCTCCCTCTCTCCTTGCTGGATCAAGGCGTGGGAGACATCGTCGAGCTGTACGTGTGTTGAACGCGGAGGTGCTGTCCGTTCGGCACTAGGATCATCGGTGATTTGAATCACGACGAGTACGACTCCATCAACCCCGTTCACTTGAACGCTTCCGCTTAGCGATCTACAAGGGTATGTAGATGCACTCCCCTTTCTACTCGTTGCTGGTCTCTCCATAGATAGATCTTGGTGTTACGTAGGAAAATTTTGAATTTCTGCTAGGTTCCCCAACACAAATAAGTCGCGGTCTATAAAGCTATTGGCAGACTTTTGTGTGCCCCTGAGCCTTAGCAAACCATGAATTGAAGACTTTGTACCCATATTGAAAAGAATTGAGAGTATATTATTGGGCTGCTCCACTCTCCTGTCTACAGGAGATAAGCTCATTCTCATCAAATATATTTTCTCCACCATGCCAATCTTCTTATGTGCTCCCTTATGAGCTGTACTCTTTCATAAATAATTAACAAGGAAGCTTCCCTGCAAAGGGTACAAGCATTACCAGAGATTGAACACCTATTTTGCAGAGCACTATCACATGAAGCATTTCACCAATTTAGCATCTTCCAAACTAGCCTTGTTGACAGACCTCTGCCAAATGTGGAAGATCAATGGATATACCCTTGAGCAGCCAAACACTACTCCAAGAACATGTACAAAGTTTTGATTGGTGCCAGTTCTCCTCACAACATCTTCAAGCAGCTCTGGGGTACCTCCTGTAGACTCGGACACAAGATATTCTTCTTGCTACTACTGCATGATCGTACCAATACCAGGAATCTTCTGAACCGCAAGAACATGTACGTGGAGAACTATAATTGTGCCCTATGTTCAGAAAACATTGAGGAAACTGCAATGCATCTATTCTGGGACTGCCCATTTGTTGCACACTGTTGGGGACTGCTCTTCCATATAAGTACATGGGTACTTCCCACACTGTTGGGGACTCCTCTTCCATATAATACTTGGCCCTCACATGTACACCCTCATCTTGAACGCACAAAGCGCTTTCATCAAAACCAAGAGCATACCTGATAATTTCATGTTTGTTTGCAACTATGCGCGTTGGCTGCACCGTAAAAAAACCTCTATCCTCCTCAAGATCAACATAAAGAAGGCCTTCCACTCGGTGCGATGGGACTATATCTTAGACCTCCTACAACAGTGTGGGTTCCCCTCCCTCTTCCATAACTGGACTGCTGCGCTCCTTTCAACTTAATCATCGCGTATCCTCCTCAATGGCGTCCATGGCGACCCAATTTGGCACGGCTGCGGGCTTAGGCAAGGACACCCGCTCTCTGGGCTTCTCTTCTCATCACGATCGACTCCTTCGCACGTCTCTTACAGCTGGCCGCCGAGCGTGGGGAGTTGTACCCCTTGGGGGCGAGGGGAGCACTTCCGCTCATCCCTCTGCGTGGACGACGCCGCCATTTTCATGGCCCTTATCAAGGAGGACATCCGCGCTCTTGATGCCATCCTAAAAAAACTTGGGGAGGTCACTGGGCTAATGACAATGTTCCAGAAGTCCCTTTTTGCGCCTATAGGTGTGGGGAAATCGACCTTGACGATATCTTGCAAAAACCTCCTGGCAACCAAATCCAGTCTTTGTCGGTTAAGCACTTCAAGAGGCTGCACTTTCAACACTTGGAAGATAAGGTGGCGGCTAAACTCCCCCCATGACAATGGAGATACTTCACCACCATTGCTCGCGCTAATTTGGTTAAAGTGGTGCTCACGGCCGTGGTGATCTATTATATCACCCCGCTTGACATTCCGGTTGGGGTGTTGCAGTTCATTGATAAACTCATAAGAGCCTTTCTTTGGGCGGGTACGTACAAGGTTTTCGGTGGAAAATGCAAAATAAAATGAGAGGTGGTGTGTCGGCCTACTGCCCTTGGGGGGCTTGGGATTCTACACTTGGGCAAGTTCGCGCGTGCCTTGCGCCTTCAGTGGCTTTAGCTCGATTGGGCTGCACCGAAGGGAACTTGGGTGGATTCCGGCAACCAATGTGATGACTCGGACATGGATCCTTTCCACGCGCTCACTAGTATCACAGTTGGCAACAGGGCCAAGGAGAGCTTCTGTAACTCACCTTGGGTTAATGGGATGCGGCCAAGGCAGATTGCCCCCTCCATTTTCAACATCTCCAAGAGGGAAAAATTAGGGTCAAAGGGGCTCTTCTTGGCGATGCTTGGGACCAGCGTATTGACTTGTTTGGCGGGCTTACTACGCAACACCTGCAGGAATTCTTTCAGCTTATGTCCTATACCTCCCGCGTACAACTCGTCAAAGATAGGTTGGACTCCATCGTTTGAAATTGACATCGTCTGGATGCTATTCCGTGACATCGGCTTACAAGGCTCAATTCTTGGGGCAAACTACTACAAGGTTGAAGACCACGGTGTGGAAGGTGTGGCCTCGCCCTAAGTGCAGATTCTTCGTGTGGATAATCATTCTAAACCGGGTGTGGATGGTGGACTAGCTGGCCAGTAGATAATGCTCAACCGTGGACTATGCCCTCTTTGTAGCACCACCATGGAGTCGGACGCCACTTTGATGTTCCAGTGTCACTTCTCCCTACGAGTTTGGGCCTCCATCCGTGATTGACATGGGCACCATTGCTTCGATGCTAACTCTTGGGCGGGCATCAACAATGTTTCGCTTGGTGGGACCACTTCATGTAAGGAAATCATGACAACCACAAGGGTATGGCTTCAATCGCAATACTAGTCATATGGAAAAATTGGAACGATCGCAATGCAAGGGTCTTCAACAACAAATTCGCAACTATGGGATACATCTTCTATAGGATCCATGAGGAGGCTTGTATTTGGGTTAAGGCGGGTGCTACGCATTTGAGTAATTTGATGCCACGAGAGTAGGCTTATGTCTCCGGTGGGGTGGCCTTTGGGCATGTACAAAACTCAAACTCTCTCTTAATTAGTGAATGTAGCAAAGCTTTTGCCCTTTTCAATAAACGGTCATGAATATATATTTTCCTTGTACATTATATACGTTTGGCAAAGAGTTTCAAATGTTCACAATATGATCATCAAGGTAGTGTTCATTTTACAGAATTTTTTAATTGTCTTTGGACATTATACATTTCGGTAAAAAAAAGTAGGCTGGTGATGTGGACACTGATTGGGCAGGTCAACTGGTAAAAATCAGTCGAATTGATCAAAAACCCCATTTGACCAGAGTCGGGATTGAAAGTTGCATGATTCTAAAAGTTTAGGGTTCTAACTTAGTTTAAAATTCAGGGTTGTTTCTTGGACATTCGTGTCAATTCAGGGTTGAAATATGGACTTCCCTCATTCCACAAAATTGGAGCTTTAATTTCATCCTTGTCAGATTGCAAGGTAATGTTGTATTAGCCAACAAAGATAATTTTATCAGAATCAAGGTTCACTCTTGGTTCTCCAAGGCCTAGCGAGAAGTTTTCCCTTATCGACCTGTTTGAGATAAATGTGAGGAAGCCGCAGAGCAATATGTTTCCTTGTCACAGTAAGAGAAGCAACCCAGTGACTTGACAACACTGAATTTATTTACTTCACTTACGTTTTACATTCCAAAGATGGTTGTTGACCCATGTGAAAATTCATGGAAATGCAGTTTGAAATGACTAAGTTTAATTTATTCTTCTAACTATGTAAAGTCTGTGAGTTCCGCTCATAGAAATCATGGAGATCTGCATGCCTATGTTTCCTTTCACTAAAGAGTGGCAAGTTTGTAAAAATGGAATTGTTTGCAGCGACTCAGTCTTATTGAGGATTGCAAACGTCCTTGTTGTAGAAGTACAAGACGTGGGCAATTTAAACAAGAAAACAAATGCGTGACTCCAGAATTTGTGCGCTATATACGTGATCTAGCATACATTCTTGTCACTTGGGTGGCAAAATCGTTTGTGAGCTCTGTGTGTGCGGACAGATATATTAGTTTTCTACTACTTTTCCTTATTAACTTGTCTCCCCGTGGTTACTTGTGGCGATGATATGGTTAGCATGCTACTCAACATACTACAGCTCAATGATTTGTTAAAATTGTAATCATATTGATGAGATCGTACTATTCATGACAAACAAACTGTAGTGGTACAGTAGTACAACAACACAGATTAACAAAGTACTTAATGAATTTGAATTAGCTTCGGTTTTGGCTACATGTAATTCAGTTAGTACATGGCTCGTGCGCTCCTAACTAGATTTATCAGGTTGTGGCTGGTACAAACTTTTTTGGGTATATGTGAGAAATATATATGCTAGGTTGCACGCTCCACAAATCTCCACGTCAGAATATCCACGTTTTAGACTGGTATAAATCTCAAAAATTTAATAATGATTCCCTAGAAAAGAAATTAATACTGACTGAAGATAGATACTTTTATAATTAGTACAATTGCATAAAAAAATACTTGTATAACTAGTACAATATCAAAGAGATCAAGCATTAATTGCATTCATTGTGATTAGATTTTAGAGATCTGGGTCAATCCTCCCTCCATCAACGATGATTCTTCGGAGTAGGCAGGTAACTTCTAATCTCTCTCTCTATATATATATGTGTAAGCCAATGAGTTAATATTAAACCCGCACAAGGCAGGCAAATCAGCTCCGTACGGAATTCTTCTTTGTTGTTGTCGCACGAGCCATGAAGAGAGCTTCCGTTTCTTCTGCCATGGCAATCCTAGTTATCTTATTCATATGCTACTCCCTGCCATGCTCAGCCGCCGACCAAGGTGAGTATGTACTCTATTAATCTGTGATGTACTGTAGTAGCACTGTGGTAGTAATGTATACTATGGCCAGATTTATGCATGTTTTATGTATAGTCTATTAATCTATGATGTTCATGCAGCTCATACGGAAGGAAACCATGTTGGAGTGAGTCCTCCGGCGCCGTGGGTAGCGCCGGGCCCACATAATCAAGGTCGTGGACGCTCCAGCACCCCACCGCCAGTGCCGCACCGCAAGAACTTACAGTTACAGCAGGCTGTTCTTCAAGTGCCACTGATGCCATGAATTATCTTGCACAAGTCTTGCAAACTTCATCACTTTAATTTTTTTAGTGCATTGTGGTGCTAGTGCCACTAAAATGTTCCTAGAGTTCAGAAATAAGTATGGTAGTGATGGTTGTACCCTTTTCTACAATTATGAACTTTAATTAAAAATTATATTTACATGATAATCCTATGGAACCGCCTCGCACCACTGCAATCATCTAAAAGATGCTTTATGGCGCAGTCCACAAGAGTGTTCTTTCTATGCTCATGTGCACCAACATCTGTTTATATTTTTGGCTGTTTCCAGTATACCAGAAAATTATGAAAATAGTTCTGAACACCATAATAAATCTATATCGACCTGCAAAAATTCGTGTTCATATGTTCTGTCGTTTGTGACAAACAAATAAAATAGAAGATTCAGTGAATTCTTAACTTGAATAAATATTAGCTAACAAATATGACTCAACACAAATATGGATGGTTAGATAGTGGGGTGTAGGTCCATCGGGGTTCAGCCACACCCTTTCTTATATATCAGGATCGCTTGGGCGGATGGTATCCCTCACCTGACGATGAACTGCAATATTACATTATGTCTAAATAACACTTGCCTCATGTGATGACGACACTTGTACCACACTACAAAACCCTTTGGCTATGTATAGTGACCGTCCCCGAATATATGAAGAACAACCAATGCAACAAGCATGTGCAATTTATTTATTGAAGGGTAATAATGGAATGTGAAATCCTTAGGTCACACTCCTGTTGTTGTTGTCACACCTTAGGTTACTGATATCTCCAATAGAGTATTGAAACAAGTAGTGGATATGGTTTTATTGTCTTTTATAGGAAAGTTTATGTTGCGTGAATATACAATTCAGGTGTCTGTATTTTGAAAAACCACAAGGCGCAAGAATAAATGAACACATGGTAGGAACATTTGGAAGGTAGGACTCTCAAATATAATAGTAGTAAAATTGCAGGACGAATGTCATGGCATGTTAGATCTTACAAAAAAACTCATTTTGGATGGTGCACAAGAGAAAAAAGAGAATTTCAGAGATTGGATGTTACTTGATTAGTAAGAGAGAATAGTTAGTGGAAGACATAAGATGCATCGAAACAGTCAAAGGATTTTTTTTTCCTGTTAGGTTTGGCCTCATGTTTGGTTTCCTCCAAAACTTGTAGAAAAACTTCCTAACCTCTTGAATCATTTGTTGTGATTGTATGATTCCAATTGCAGGTATGTGAATATTTTCTCAGTCACTGCCTAGAAATCGAAGGGTAAAAGAGAAAGGAAAATGCAAGAATTTGATGCAGTCTTATGATTTAAAGGGGGTGAAATGATGCTAGATTGTGCGAAAGAACTTAAGATTCTATCAAAGAGAATGCAGTGGATAAAAATATATTCCCATAGAATCTAGTGCAAATGAATTGTAAAGATAAATTACTATGGTTTATACTCCTTAAAAGAAAAAATGCTAGAGAGCTGCCCCCATGGAAAACCTAGTGCTACCCTCATGTCGCTGGGGAGGAAGGCATACAACAATCAAAGCAAATAATCTTAGTATCCATGTATGATCTCATAGGTCCAACATCACAAAAAAATAACAAATGATGTATATCATGGTGAATTCATGAACATAAATGTCTACATTGCAAAAAAAATAGTTTTTTAAAAGATAGGTCCTTTGTAGAAGATCCATTCAAAATGGATCATCGAAACCCTAAATAGTACTACAATCTAAAAGCAGAGTACACTAATCATTAGTACATCGCCAAACCATTACATTTTTTCCCTACGGGGCCATTAATTACAAAGACAATGATCAACCTTAAATCAAAAAACAAGAAAGTTGATCTATTGGCCTAACTAAACAGAGCAAAAACCACACACACCTCAACTTTTTCGAACAACTGACGCAAAGGGCTCGCATAATACTATCAGAAGCACGAAACGCATGAAGCCCTAAACATCTTGATAATCGTATGTGGTCCATATAAATGAGGGCCAAAACTTGCCGAAGTCAGAAGCGAGGCCTCCTGGTTGTCGATGCTCAGACACCATGGTATTCTTCGTCGTAATGATCGTCGACGATCTTGGCCATCATCAATCAGCCGTCCCAGTCACTCCTCTGTCCCATTTGCCACTTTAAACGACGACGTTGGAGAGGACAGGTGCAGTGAGTTGGAAAACGAGGTAGCGACATGTACATATAGAACTTTTCTTTTTCTATTTTTAGAAAAGTATTATGTAACAAGCCAGTTTAGCCCACACCGCGTTGTCACATTAACAAGCTTATTAATGTCACGGTATATTTTCATATATTCTTATTTAGTGTTGTAGATACAGACTGATTTCTCTATTAAATTGATTAAATGAAATAATTAAAAGCAAGTTTCAAATAATAATAATCAAAAGCAAATATATTATGCATTAATATATGTCTCTGTGGGCGCTGCTACCAGTTTTTGCCTGGCAGTCGGCAATATATAAGTACGGCAAAGTGCACAGCGCCGTCCGGAACAAGAGCCAGCGATGGCATCCTCCTCCATTGCGGTCGCGGCTGCTCTGATCCTCTGCATCCTCGTCGCCCATGCCCATGGCTGCTACGCCAAGCACCACGCGGCTCCTTCTGCGGCCAACTCCAGCTGGCTTGATGCCAAGGCGACATGGTACGGCGCACCCCATGGTGCCGGGCCTGACGACAATGGCGGCGCGTGCGGGTTCAAGAACGTCAACTTACCACCCTTCTCCTCCATGACCTCCTGCGGCAACCAGCCGCTCTTCAAGGACGGCAAGGGCTGTGGCTCCTGCTATCAGGTACGATACGACCCACCTTACGCTATCATTAGTTTATTACACACCTGCAAGCAATTATGTTATTCCCTCCAATCCATATTAATTATCGCTGATTTGTTATAATTTTATACTGAATAATTAAAATTTAATATAGATTGGAGGGAGTACCACTATAATTTATTTATTTTTACAAACCAATATGTTACCAGCACATTGTTTTTTAGCCATTATTATTCGCGTGCATGCATTCAGACATATTCGTATAGGATATAGATGTGTTTATATGCAGCCTGTAACGTCGTGCACTACAAGTGCAGATAAGGTGCTTAAAGCCAGACCACCCTGCGTGCTCCGGTGTGCCGAAGACGGTGATCATCACCGACATGAACTACTACCCGGTCTCCCGCTACCACTTCGACCTCAGTGGCACCGCCTTCGGAGCCATGGCCAAGGACGGCCGCAACGACGAGCTCCGCCACGCCGGCATGATCAACATGCAGTTCAAGAGGTACCACACCCATCATAGCCATCGTCTTACCTTATTGAGATCGAGAGCTAGACGATATTGTGTGTTTATGAGACGACACACACTGACACACCTAAGGGACATGACTGCGCAGGGTACCGTGCCAGTATTCGGGGCTGACGGTGACGTTCCACGTGGAGGAGGGGTCGAACCCGTTCTACATGGCAATCCTGGTGGAGTACGAGAACGGCGATGGCGATGTGAATCAGCTGGACATCATGGAGTCGCGACCGAATGGCGGTAAGATGGCTCCAACAGGGCAGTGGGTGCCCATGAAGGAGTCGTGGGGTTCCATCTGGAGGATGGATGCCCACCACCCCATGAAGGCGCCATTCTCGTTGCGCATCACCAACGAGTCCGGCAAGACACTTGTCGCCGAACAGGTCATCCCCATCGATTGGAAGCCCAACAAAACCTACAGCTCCCTCGTCCAGTTTCATTAACTGATCGATCGGCCAGATATGCCCATATATATATGAAACTAATGAAAAGGGTAGTAGCCTGATTTGAAGAGAAAAAATTGTGGTACATGCGTGCGTGCCTATGTAGCCGGCTGAGACGTCGCCTGTGATATCAATAAATGTTATATACAACTGCTTATTTAGGGTAATGTTATACATTTGTGGTTGTGCATTAGACATATAAATTTGATCTGCGCCCCATTACTGGGCTCCGCAGCTTTGCCGAGTGCCCAGAGAACTCTACAAATGCAGGAAACAACTCGACAATATTTTGCCGAGTTCTGCACCGGGCAAACAAGACACGGCCAGGAACATGTTGGTAATGAGCTACTTTTCCGAGTGCTTATCATCAGAAAACTCAGCAAAGAGTCACTCTTTGCCGAGTTTCGCCATGTGTCAACTTGGCAAACTTCCACCATAGACGGAGGGGGAGTGACCCATTAACGGCCGCACCACGCCACACTAACTTTCCTGCGTGCTCCCGGCTCGTACTCAACATTGTGTCCGGCTGGTTTGTAGAGTTTTCCTAGAAGCCTTGTAAGGAAACTAGTCAAATATGGGTCAAAACCATGCAGAGTGGCGAACTCGGTAAATGCCTTTCAAGCACACAAACAGTGTCCTCCTCACTACCGAGTTTCTTCCTAAGGATTTCTCCAGAAGCTAGCAGGCGTTGACAATTGGTATGCTAGAGTACAACACTCTGTAAATGGTCAATCATGTTTTGTTTTCAATTTATTTTTCGGACCATCCCTCCATAGAAATCACTATATATGTGCATAATTTGGGCAATGAAAGGATCTTACAAGTGATGGGTTATTCTATTTTTCGGAAAATCAGTGGGCGCATGGTGATGGTAGCTTGGATCGTTACCATGATCGTTACCATGATAGTTACCAATTTCGTGTCATCTGGAGAAGTAGAAGTAAGATTAGGCCGATGTACAATCCTTGGAAACTCATTCAACTAAAAATTACAACTTCTCATAAAATACACATACTTCTCTAACATATCATCATCAAATATCTAAACGAACCGAATTGTATTATCAACATAAAAAACCAGGCAAGCAATGCAAAATCATTACTCGTTACCAACAATAAGTGGCTTGCCTGTCATTTCTTTCCTCTTCCTCTTCAATCCAATGCAGGACTCGGTATGTAATTTGTTGTAGTACTCAAAAGTTTAGAAATTTTGCTGATAATCGCACCATGGTAATGGAAAAT